GTCAGCTGTTGCTGCACCACAGTCAGCTGTTGCTGCACCAGTCACCTGTTGCTGCACCAGTCAGCTGTTGCTGCACCACAGTCAGCTGTTGCTGCACCACAGTCAGCTGTACTACTCAAAGATGTGGAGAGAGTGTTGTTGGTGTGGCTTAACGTGAAACGGTTACTGAGATACTATTAACCCCAGAGGGTTAGCCACCCAGGATAACCCAAGAAAGCCAGTGCATCATTGAGGACTGTAACTTATTTCCATTGGGGTCCTTAATCTTGTCCCCCCAAGATGCAACCCACAAGTCAACAAACACCCAGGTGAACAGGAAAAAATGCCTGGAACTAGTGCTCATATTGGTGAATTTAAGGCCAGCAAAGGTTGGTTTGAGAGATTTAAGAATTGTAGTGGCATACACAGTGCAATAAGGCATGGCGAAGCTGAAAAATTCATCCCCCAACAAGTGTACAATTGTGACAAAACATGCCTGTTCTGGAAGAAAATTCCAAACAGGACCTACATTGCTCTGGAGGAAAAGGCACTCCTAGGACACACGCCTGTGAAAGACAGGCTAACTCTCATGTTTCGTTGTAATGCTAGTGGGGATTGCAAAGTGAAGCCTTTACTCGTGTATCACTCTGAAAATCCCAGAGTGTTCAACAAAAACAGTGTCTCATCACTCATCAGTACTCTTCAATAAAGGTATGTGTCATTTTAACATTTATTTATGCAGTTATTGTGCATGTTGTATTGTTTTCTTTGTAGGGAAATGTATATTTCATGAAAAAAAATTTTTTTTTTAATACTTTTGGCTGTCTGGAACGGATTAATTAGATTTCCATTATTTCTAATGGGGAAAATTAACTCGGCTAACAATGAGCTCTCAGGAACGGATTAATATCGTTAGGCGAGGGTCCACTGTATTTATTCTACTGTGGGGTGTATTTATCATCTTTATATGTTATGCATTGTGTTTATTATATAATTTTGAAAAAAAATATCATAGATGGATTAATGAAAATGTGTATATTAACGTAATATACGACATTTAAATGAGACTCGGTGATTATTATTATCATTACTAATATGACGTCTCGAGACATAAGACACTCTTACTGATTTTAATGTGTACCTGCATGCCAGCAGAGTATGTAAGTTTATTTAGGTACAGGCATACATAAGTATAATTATCAGAGTACAGTGGACCCCCTGTTAACGATATTTTTTCACTCCAGAAGTATGTTCAGGTGCCAGTACTGACCGAATTTGTTCCCATAAGAAATATTGTGAAGTAGATTAGTCCATTTCAGACCCCCAAACATACATGTACAAACGCACTTACATAAATACACTTACATAATTGGTCACATGCGAAGGTAATTGTTATGCGGGGGTCCACTGTATATATGAAATATGAAATAACTTTCAAAAACACTTGAAATTTTGGAGTTTCCAGACATAATGGAGAGACTTAGTGCTTATGGATCTCACATAGAATGTAAACAAACAGGGTGGGGCACAGTGACCGTATTAGAAAGTCAAGTGTGAGGAGCCGTATAGCGAGTTTTGGACATAATTTGAATTAACTGTATTAGCAGAATGCCATAAAGCGGAATGCCGTAAAGCGGGGCCCTACTGTACTGTCAATGAAGGTTATCTACCTATCATATTTATTCCAGAATAATATTAGGTATAACATTTTTTTTTTTTATTTGGACATGATACATAGGTGTACAAAGAAATATAGTGATTGGGTGTACATGACAAAAGCCCCTTGTATGCAGAGCATTATGGGCAGCTTAAAATTAACTTAAGAATAACTAAGCAATGATATATTCAGTCGTAAAAATTACAGTAAACAAATTACAACGTGAAGTACAAATGAATATTTCAAATAAAAATCATTGAAGTTGTATAAATTTGTAGCATAACAATGTATAATATAATCAAATCAGATTGAGTAAAATCAATGATTTGTAGTGCAGAAATAGGTCATATGGTCATTAGATGAGTTGCTATGCATTTAAGAGAATGGGGTATTCTTTTGGGTAATGTAATTAAAAAAAAACATAGTTTGATAGGGTCACAGTTATACATTTATGAGATTCAGTTATTCAGTATTTATTTAGTTGTGGTTGAGGAAGTGGTTTTTAAGAAGAGTGTTGAATTGATAAACAGACAGTAATTCTTTTATATTCACAGGTAATGAATTCCAGATTTTTGGGCCTTTTATGTGATTTGAGTTTTTACATTGTGTGAGATGGACACGGGGAACATCAAAGAGTGGGTTTATATCCAAGTTTAGTGTTCTATGTATGTAGTAGGGACAAAATTAAGTATGGATGTTTTGTATGGTAAATTTAAAGTTTTGAATATTGGTGGAGCATGCTGCCTGGAGTGGGAATTTGTTATCATTCTGACTGCAGCCTTTTGTTGGGTAATTAATGGTCTGAGATGATTTATTGTTGTTGAGCCCCATGCACAAATTCCATTGGTGAGATTGGGGTAAGTGAGTGAGTGAGTGATATAGGGCCAGGAGGGCTGATTGTGGAACATAGTACCATATCTTCGATAGTATGCCTAGGGTCTTGGAGATTTTCTTGGAAATTTGTTGTACATGTGTTTGAAATTTGAATCTATTATCAAGGTGGATTCCTAAGAATTTTCCCTCTGTGAGTTTTGTGATAGGTGATCCATTTATCATTATGTTAAAAGGAACATTTGTAGTTCTGTTCCCAAACTGAATATAGTAGGTTTTGTCAGTATTGAGAGTAAGTTTCTTAATCATCATCCATGTAGATATTTTCTGTAATTCGGTATTTACAGTATTGGCTAGTATGACTGGGCTTGGGTGAGAGAAGACGAATGTAGTGTCATCTGCAAATAGTGTGGGTTTGAGTAGTTGCGATGCATTTGGTAGGTCGTTTATGCAAATGAGAAAGAGAAGAGGGCCAAGGACACTTCCCTGTGGGACACCAACTGTAATTGGCTGTGTGGAAGAGTTTGCTCCATTTGTGTACACATATTGACTTCTGTTGCTAAGGTTATGACTTTAGGTAGTTGAGGGAGTGCCCTCTTATACCATAGTGTGACAATTTTATGTGCAGCAAATCATGGTTATCTGTATCAAAAGCTTTACATAAATCTATGAAGATCCCCAATGGGACTTCTTTTTTCTTGAGTGCAGTGTGTATTTGTGTTAGCATATATATAATAGCATCATTCGTGTTTTTATTAGGCCTGAACCCAAACTGGCAGGGGTTGAGTATGTTGTGGGAGATGAGGTAGGAATAGATTCACTTATGAATTAGTTTTTCAAAGATTTTAGAGAGAGAGTGCAAGTTGGATATTGGCCTATAGTTATTCAAGTCTGCTTGATCTCCTCCTTTATGTATCGGGGTGACCCTCGCTATTTTGAGAACTGTGGGGAAGGTAGAGGATTCGATGGATTTGTTAAAGAGTGTTGCAATGATTGGTGACAGCACTTGTGAAGCTTTTTTGTATATACAGGGTGATAAGGTATTTAAATCTCCTGTCTTGTTCTTTAGTGTGTTGATAATAAGTGAGACTTCTATTGGGTTGGTTAGAGCTAGGAGTAGTGTGTTCGGGTAGGTGCCAGTGAGGTTGTCATTGGGTGGGGTATTTGAGCTTGGAATTTTACCTGCAATGTTTTCTTCTTCACCATAGGTGGTGGAGAAAAAAACATTGAGTCTGTTGATCTGGCCTACAGTTGTGTATGGCTGTGTAACCAGGAGTGGCATAGACACCTGTAGTATCTGGCCTTAGCCAGGTTTCGGTGGAATGCAGGGAATTTAGTAATGCTGTTAGGTCATCGCAATGTTTGCTTAAAGATCTGACATTATGTTATTGTATAATATAAATAATGTAGAAGCATGATAAAGATGCCCAAAGTCATAAAAACTAACATTATATGGAGAGGTATTGAAGGGTGGAGGGTGGGGAGGGATTAAAAAAAAAAAAGTGACCACAACCATTACAGAAAATGTTATGTGTCTGAAGGGTATCTATAGAGTATAGAAGAATGCTCTTACTCTATGCAAAGACTGAAAAAAGTGCAATTTTCTCGAAAAAAAAAATTCCCAAGTAATCAGCTATGCACTTGTTTACTGGAATATCTCGGAAGTCAGTCATTGACCTATTTCATGTTGTATTACAGTTAATAATAAACAGATTGAAAGGAATTGCCCAGCATACATAAAACTGAATGTTTTAATTTTGGGTGGTGACACTTTTGAAGTGTCAGTAAGGGGTGATTACTCAATTAGCGACAAATTCTTTTACAGACGGGGTCTTAGGCCTCTAACTCAATGCACAATGCACATAAAAGGCCCTAAAATCTGGAATTCATTACCTGTAAATATAAAAGAAACACTACCTGTTTATAAATTCAAGTCTCTACTCAAAGATCACTTACTCACCCAAAACCAAATAAATACTGAATAACTGAACCTTATAAATTGTATATCTTAAATGTTTCTCACAATTATATCACATAAATGTTAAACCTAAAACCCAATCTAACTTTATTATTTTTTAAATACACTACCTAACAGAATCCTTCATATGACCTGTCTTTGTAATACTCACTTGTGCTTTATAGTAATCTGTTTACATTAATGTTTTATCACTGACTTCTTCATTGCTTAATTAATCTTAAGTTAATTTTAAGCCAGCCCGTAATGCTATGCATAGTATAAGTGGCTTTGGCATACTGCTCTTATCTGTATTTTTTTGTACCTCTGTATGTGTGCACAAATTTATAATAAATAAATAAATAAAATAAATAAATAAATAAATAAACTCCATTGTTAAGTGAGAAGAAGCTGTACTAGGATATTTTTTTTTTTTTTACTAAACTATTCCCATTTGTTTTCTTTAGGTAGGGTCATCTAGGGATATATTTCATCTTTCAAGCAGCTCTTGTTAAATATTTGCTAAAATATTCAACATGAAGGAAGATTTGTATATGTATTGTATATTTATATTTTCAGCCCAGCTGGAGATGAATCAGAGTCTAGGATACCAGACATTGGCCTTGTTGTTACGCAAGAAGAAGTCCCTCTTGAATTCCCACATTCTTCATTTGTGTATGACACTAGCAGGATCTGGTGAAGCTCGAGAGTCCTCCGCTATACCAAACACACCTGCTTTCAGTGACTTGCTATGTGACCTGGAGGTATGTGTCTGTGTAAATAGACATGTATATGCATTATAAGACTTACTAATGAGATGTTTCACCTGCCATGGGATTTTTCAGTCCATTCAAGAGATGGGCAATGTGTACTGTGGTATAGTTTGGGGAGGTCAGATGCTTTGAGAGGAAGGGCAGGTCTATGTGATACAGCCATCACGTAGCAGGCTTGTTTCTGACCAGTGGGGCATGAGCTATGAGGCGTGGCTAACTGAATTGGACCTAACAACACTTAACCCTTTGACTGTTTTGGTCGTATATATACGTCTTATGAGCCACCATTTTTGACATATATATACGTACTCATAAATTCTAGTAGCTTCAAATCAAGCAGGAGAAAGCTGGGAGGCCCATATATGAGAGAATGGGTCTGTGTGGTCAGTGTGCACCATGTAAAAAAATCCTGCAGCACGCAGTGCATAATGAGAAAAAAAAACTCCGACCTTTTTTTTTTAATTAAAATGCCGAATTTGTCGTCTATTTTCGTATAGTATTTATTATTGTATTCTCGTTTTCTTGGTCTCATTTGATAGAATGGAAAACATATAGAAATAGAGGTGATTTTGATTGGTTTTACTCTGAAAAGAACCTTGAAATGGAGCTCAAAGTAGGGGAAATGTTTGATTTTTGCCAATGTTCAAAAATAAACAGATGATGTCATTTTCCAATAAATGTCCAACTAGCCATTCTAATATGCAGTCATGAATGGGTTGACATTATTTATACAATTATTACAATATTGCAGTAGTCTGCATAACAGTAAATCTTCTATTTTTTGTTTGAATAAAAATTCAAAATAGAAAGCAAGAGTAATATCAGAGGGGCCTGGAGACGTGACTGATGAACAAAGAAAATGTTATTTTAGAGCCAGGAATGTCTGCATTGCTCATTCTGGACCCTCTTTTGAAATTGTCATTTTTTAATTTTTGTGAAATTGGCCAAATTGCAAATTTCTGACCACGTTATTGGGTAGTTGAAATTGGTAAATGGGCAGTTTCGTGTACTCAATCGATAGAAAAAATGTAGTTCTAAAGAAGTAGCTATGAGTTTGGTCAACTGGAACAATGGAATTAGCCGAAAATAGGGCTCAAAGTGGGCGAAAATGCCGATTTGTAAATATCGTCGAGGTTGCTAACTTCGTGAGAGCGTAATTCTGTCAGTTTTCCATCAAATTTCGTTTTTTTGGTGTCATTACAATTGGAAAAAGATTCTCTATCATTTCATAAGAAAAAAATATTTTTTTTCTTTTTTTATATTTTGCAACACCACGGAGACACCTCAGTATTTGGGGTTGCGACAGTCAAGAGGTTAAGGTCAGAAGAACCAGGGGGTAACATGATGATAACATACAAAATCGTCATAGGAGTTGATGACATAGACTGGGACAGCCTATTTGTGAGGTGGGAAACAGGAACTCGGGAACACCCCTGAAAGTTAATCACAGATAAGCCATGAGGATGTTATAAGGAAGTATTTCTTCAGTATCAAAGTAGTCAGGAAATATAATGATCTTAGAGTGGTGGTGGCAGTCTCAGTACATTGTTTCAAGAGCAGGTATGATAGGGCTCCCAAGGCTGGAAGAAGTAAATATGAAGAGTTGTAAGTTAAGAGGCAAGGCCAGGATCTGAGCCTCAATCTCTACAGCCACAAATTTATTAACACCAGTTTCCTTAGACATTCATTGACTGATGATGAAAAGAAAAGCAGCTTTTTTTTTAAGCCTGCACTGACTTATAATATAAATTCAATTGATTCCTTGCAAAAATGTGATTATTGGAGTGAAAGTATACATCCCTCTCCAGTTTATTGCCTAGGTTGACTTATGGCTGAGTTTATGGTACAAATGCAATGTGATGAAATTTTTTTTGTGATGTAGGCTCCTGATTTGGCAGAGCATGGTTCACTTACATTGAATTTTTGATAAATGATATTTTTTCGATTTGAACAGGGAGGGCATTGAACAATTAATCTTAAAATTCTTTAACTTTTTCATAATGTTATTGAAGTTTATTTTACTTTTTGTGTATTGTATAAAAGCTTTTTGCCATTTATCTATTTTTTTGTAATCTAAAAGAAGTAAGAAAGTAATTCATTAGAATACATAATGATCTTTGAAGTCACTAAACTACTTGAAGTTGTTGTCATGCTGAAATGTGAAAGAAATTAACTTGCTCTGTGTATTTATTAACTTTTTAGTACTGAAGTGTACTGTTGTTAATAAATTGACCTTTTCTATAAGGTGTGGTCTGATGCTCCTGGGGAGTTGTGCCGCACTCTGCTGGAACACTTAGTTGAGCTGGCACGTGAGTCCGGGGAAAGGCATCATAATGTTCGTAAGATGAGGTGAGAACGGCTCAGTTGTAATTAATTAATGATCATTGGTTACAATTGGCTTTATCATTATCAAGTTTTTGCTTAGACATCTTACATGATAATATAAAAATGTTCGTCTGTGGTTGTCAAGTTAGAGGGAGAGAAATAAAATAAATATGGTAAGAAAAGATATGTTAAAAGACTAGTGCAGTAGAAAAATTGGAGAGTGAGTGAAAAACCTTTGAAGGATAATATTTCAAAATCTCTGGTACTTTTATTTGATGAGGGGAGTGGTCAAGAATTATAGAAGACCAAGGGAAAGATGCAGTGGAGAGTATGATACTTGAGTATGTGTATTAGCCAATTTTCAACCATGCATCAACACCTAGTTTTATACATTGTGGAGAATTAGTATATTATGTTATCTTCAAGATAACATTCCTAAGCTTTAAGTGTTACAATGTGTTAGTAGATGTGTGCACTACTGGCCAGTGGTGGTTCCAGAATTTATATACTGGGGGCTTAAGGGTGACTATCTGTGTGGAAAGGGAGGCCAGGAGACTGCTTTTGAAGCAGTATTATTTTTATTTGGGGGCTGAAGCCCCCAAGGCCCCCTTGGGAATGCCACCACTGCTACTGGCACTACCTCCAAATGATGCCATGACTAAAGCTGAGTGCAGTGCATTCATACAACAATGGCAGGTACTTCAAAATACTCTGTTAGCTTACCAAAAATTTAGAGCTGGGAATGCAGTCATACATGGTGCATACATGAGCACTTAACTCTTAACTGTTTAATATTGCTCCCAGTGTCTACTTTTTAAAAGAGATATATATGTATATTCTTCTGAGTGGTAGACAATTTTTTTTTCTGAAGGTAATGACATCAAAAGTATGAAATTTGATGGTAAACTTAAGGAATTATTCAGGTGGAAAGTTAGCAATCTCTGTGGAATTTGCACATATTTGGCTATTTTAAGTCAATTCCATTACTCCATTTGACAAATTCTTAGTACTTTTGTTATGTGCCTTCTGTTCTTTCAATTGGCCACAAGAAACTGCCTATTCAGATATTACAACTATCCTATAAAGTGCACAAAAGTAGGTAATTTGACCACTTTTACAAAACATTAAAAAAAAAAAAAATACCAGTTTATAAGTAGAGTGCAAAATGAACAATGTTGACATTCCTGGCACAAAAACAATATTTCTCTGTTCATTAATCATGTCATCCAGGCCTCTTCTGTATTACTCTTGCCTTCCATTTTGAATTCAAAATCACATAAAAATAGGTTTTCTGTCTTTCCCAGATAACAAAATATAACCAGGAATAATTGGTCATGGTTTAATTAAGGCATCCCAATAATTGAATTAGACCTGTTAAAAACCCATGAAACAAAGTGGGGTTATTGAGGGGCCTTGCCTGTCCTCAGGAAAATCAGCATAAATCAAATATTTCTGCTAATTTGAGCCCAGTTTCAAGCTATTTCTGGTTCTGAAGTCAACCAAAATCATCTTTATTTCAGTAGTATGTGTTCCAGTCTGTCAAATGATACCAATAGAAAGAGCCAATAAAACCATAAAAAAAATCCTAGAAAATATGTCAATGTTGCTATTTTAAAGCAAACACATGGTCAGTGTTGCGTTTCCTATCATGCACTGCATAGGGCAGGATCTTTTATGCTGTGGACACTCACCGCACAAACCCATTCTCTTGTATCTAGGCCAAAATTTACTGCTCACAGCTTACCGGAGTGAGCTGAACTCATGGCATTACTATGTAAGGAACCCTGGCCTCAGTGATGTTCTGTGACAGTAAAAGGGTTAGGTTGTTCACACACTTCGTACTGAGTGCCCCTTGTGTGTCCACATTTTAAAATTAATTATCTTCTATGACAGCAACAATAAAAAATACAGAATTTCAAGTAATTTTTATGAAATTTCATAGGGGCAAAATTGGTGGTTAGTAAGCAGTTTATACAGCAATTTTGCCTACTTTGATGCCTATTTTCAACCTATTTCAATGTTCAGACCAAGTTGATTCCCAGCTATGTATGTGCTAGTATGTCTTCCATACTAGCTATTGACCGAAAGGAACTGTCCATTCAACCATTAGACGTACAGTAGGGCCCCACTTATACGGCGGGTTAGGTTCCAGGCTGTCGCCGGAAAGCAGACATCGCCGGAAGGTAGAACGCCATTTTTTTCCATTTATAAATGCATATAAATGCCAGACAAGTTTACACTAAATTATATTAAGTTAGTAATAGAACTGGGCATTAAAAACACACAAAGTAAAATACATTCACAGTAAATTCAATACTTATCTTAAAGTATTTGTAATCTTAATGTAGGGAGAGAGGTGAGTAGTACTTGTAGGAAGTCAGGTGTAGGTAGCCCAGGTGTAGGTAGCCCTGGCTCCCCGTCTCATACTTAATATACTATATTTAAAACATAACATATGTTGTGTATCTTTATACGTATATGCTTCTAAGCTGTTGTATTCTGAGCACCTCTGCAAAAGCAGTGATAATGTGTGAGTGTGGTGAAAGTGTTGAATGATGATGAAAGTATTTTCTTTTTGGGGATTTTCTTTCTTTTTTTGGGTCACCCTGCCTCGGTGGGAGACGACCGACTTGTTGAAAAAAAAAAAAAAATTAAAACATCCCAGAGAGGTAAAATACACATACAGTACACTCATTATTTACCTTAAAATATGTGTTAGTCTTAATATAGGAAGAGAGGTGAGTAGTATTTATTTGTAGGAAGTCAGTGTAGGTAGCCGGTAGGTGTAGCCCGCCTGGGCTACACCTACCGGCTACCTACACTGTGGCCCAGAGCCATATTATTAACATCGACATGCCTTGTTCACTGAATTTAATCATTTCTAACAACTACCTTTAGATGCCATCATAAACGAAGGTAGAAGTAATGAATAATTCATGCCGAAAATTGTAAACAAAAGCGGAGTGAGGGAGTGGCTGGGCCAAACGCAGATTCATACACGTTTTCTCTGATGGCTGAGCAGAGAAAACGTAATGTTGTCCCTCCACCCGGCTACCACACACGTCCACAAGTATTATCAGAGCACACATAAAATATGCAATAAATGCCAGACAACAAGTTTACACTAACTTATATTAAGTTAGCAATAGAAATAGGCATTAAAAACACAATAAAATGTAAGATACACATAGAGTACACTTATTACTTACCTTAAAATATTAATATTAACCCTTTGACTGTCGAAGGGCCCAATCCTGAAGTGTCTCCTGGTGTCGCAAAATATTCGAAAAAACAAAAAATTATTTTTTCTTATGAAAATGTTAAGATTATTTTTCTGATTGTTTTAGTCCCCCAAAAAAAATTTTCCCATCAGTACTTACCGAGATATAGAGGCATGAAGTTTGCAGAAAATGAGCCGCGTATGGCAACAGCGGTGACTGCCGCTCACCCGGTAAACTTTAGTTTACTTGTATTTGAAGGTTTGTTGTTTTTTTCACTATTTTATTTTTTCACATAACTTATGTGGCCTGTGAGACCAAAGTAAGGTGCAATGTACATATATACACTCGTTGTATACAACACAATAAGCACACAAACATAATTATCAATATATTGTTTACAAAACTTGTTTACAAAAACAAACAATACAAAAAATTGTTTATTACTATTGTTCTATAATATATATACCAATATACAGTCACTGAACATACTCCTAGAAGTTCTGCAGCTTGTGGAACTCTCTGAAACATGGTGTCATACACAGTGGTGTTTTACACTCTTACACATAAAACATGGTGTCATACACAGTGGTGTTTTACACTCTTAGACATAAAACATGGTGTCATACACAGTGGTGTTTTACACTCTTACACATAAAACAAGGTGTCATACACAATGGTGTTTTACACTCTCACACATAAAACATGGTGTCATACACAGTGGTGTTTTACACTCTCACACATAAAATCAGTGTGTGTGCATTTTTGTTGAATTTTTTTTTTATGTGCAAAGACAAAACACCTCGTCTGAGCAGCTTTCTTCAAAGTATTAGCAGGCAGTTGTGTTATGTAGTTATCCTAGGTAAATGGTCGTGTGTCATCATTCCTTCCTAATTTCCTTCATTCCTTTCCTACCTGGAGGGCATTCCACCTCTCTTCCTACATTCCTTCATCTGTCCTTCATTACTTTTTTCCTTCCTTTCATCTAGTCCTTCCTTCATTCCTGCCTTCCTTCTTGCTTCTGGTTTCTATAATATATATACACATATATAGTCACTAGATACTTTCATAAAACTGCTATTATCACCCTTCAGCAAGCTTGTCTTGTGTGCGAGTGTGTGGCTTATAATTGTTTTGAGTCAGGAGTCGGCAGCTGTCAAAATGACAATATTGTCTCATTAGTCACTCCCCCTACCGCTGTCAAAACAATGGGGTCGGATGCTGCTTCCCCCTCCATTCTATCTAATTATCTTTCTCCCTCATTCTATCTCTTTCAGTCTGTCTCTCTTTCTCTCTCTCTGTCTATCTCTGTCTCACAGGTACACATAAATACAACTATACATAGTGTAAATTACCTAGGATAACCCAAAAAATCCAGACAAAGTGCTATACTCTGCTTGAAGATGTGAGTAAACGTGATGATGACAGTCTTGTGGCTCTCTCTGAGACAGAGCTAGACGGATAGACAGGGAGTTTGGCAGACAGACAAATAGACAGACAGACAAATGTTTGTTCGTCGTCATCATCTCCTCCTCCTCCTCCTCCTCCTCCTCCTCCTCCTTCTCCTCCTCCTCCTCCTTCTTCTCCTTCTCCTCCTCCTCCTCCTCCTGGCTCTTGACAGATGGACAGCTGCCCCCCTCCCTCCACCCTCGTTTACGCTCATCAAAGGTCAGCTCTTATCAGATGTTATCTCCCCTTATCTTTTCACTGTCATGGGGTGAACTGTTTTCATGCCTCAAGGGAACATATTATTACATATTATTATTATTAGGTATTAGGTATTATTATTATTATTCCTATTCTTCT